TTTAAATAACATAAGAGTTTGCAAAACAATGTTTCTAAATACTTTTGATATAGGAGAAAACATGATTAAAAAAATAATTAATAAAAGCCATTCAGAAACAGAATTTTCAGGTGAAGATAATACTGAATACAACAATTTAGAATCGACTTCTACAACTATTATAATACACCAAAGTATTTCTGATAGGAAATTATTATTAAACACATTTTTTGAATTATTACCTAAATTGGAAAGTCACTACTGCAGAGCAAGTTCCTCAAAACTATACTTAGAACTTAACTGGCTTACAAAAAGATCCTTGTACAATTTTTATTGTAATGATTTTTGTGTGTCCCATAATACCACTCCTATGAGTGATGCAATGTTTTATACAACATTAGAGGAAAAAAATATTTCTTTATTTAAACCCAAAAAGGATGCATGTGATTTATGTACAGCATATGAAACTGGCAACTTATCAATTGATCAAAAACAGTTACATGATCAAATGAAATTTGAAGCTCGTCAAGAAAAAGAAACTGATAAGGAATCTGAAAATGAAGTTTTTACAATGGATTTACAATCTGTTTTACTATGTCCTAAATCAAATGTATCATCACAATATTATAAAACAAAACTTATTGTCCATAATTTCACAGTGTATGATTTAAAAAGAAAAAACGGTTACTGTTATTTGTGGAACGAGACAGAGTGTGGATTAACTGCACATGAATTTAGCTCAATAATTGTACATTTCCTACAGAAATTTGTCATTGACACTGCTAAAGTACAAAATGTTAAAATCATACTGTACAGTGATGGTTGTACATACCAAAACAGAAACTCAACTTTATCTAACGCTCTTCTTAATTTGTCATTTTTATCAGGCATTACAATCATTCAAAAATATTTATTAAGAGGACACACTCAAATGGAGGTTGATTCAATGCACTCAACAATTGAGAGAAAAATTAGACATAAAAAAATCAATATACCCGCAGACTATGTCACAGCTTGTAAAACTGCATGTATCTAAAACCTCTATTATGTTGAGTATTTGAGTTTTAACTTTTTTAAATCATTTTCAAAAATTATGTTTTTTAAATCAATTCGCCCTGGAAACAAGAAAGGTGATCCAGTAGTCACTGAAATAAAGGCTTTAATGTATGAAGCTAATAAAAATGTAAGTTATAAACTAAAATTTTCAGATGACTGGAGTAATCTTCTTTTATCAAGGAATAGCTCTACACAAACCCCATTAAGTATTGAGACACTACCACCATTACACACTCATAGAATCAATATCAAAAAAGAAAAATATGAACACTTACATCAGTTAAAAGCATCAATGGAAAAAGATTATCACTCTTTTTATGACAATTTGCCCAAAGAATAAATGATTTTTTAACCTTATTCTTAATGTTACTATTTCATAATAAATACTTAAATTAATTAAAAGTTTATTTGCTATAGATGTATAATATTTACCATTTTGTTACTTAAAAATAAAGTTATTTTATTCCTAACATTATAATCAAGGCTGATAATGTATGTTATTTCTTTTTATTATTACTTATATTATTTTGTTACTGAAAAATTCAGTTATTTTATTCTTTATGTTATAATCAAGGCTGATAACGTTTTATATTTCAATTAATTATTATTTTATACTTTGATTCTAAAAAATTAAGTTATTTTATTACAAATAAATAATAAAAAGAGAAAAAATCATAACTCCTAAAAATGTGTGTGTTTTTTTTAGAAAAAGTCTTAACTCCTTTCACAAGTTCACTTATTCTAATAAATATATAAATTATTCAACAAAATCAACAAAATCATAAATAATAAATTTTAACAAATACAGTTATTTGTGAAAATAAAAAAAGTAATACAAGTAAAAAAAATATTTCAAAATTAACAACTACACAAAGGGCCAATAAATATTTTTCAAACAAAATTCAATTGTAAACATTTTAATTAGTTCTTTCATAATATTTTGTATATATATTTAATATTTATAAACATTAACTTTTATATAATGTATAAAATATGTTTATCAATATGTTTATAAGTCACTTTTTAATAATTCCATATTTCCATGTAACAATTATTATATTTTTGAATAAATTAAAGAAATAATGAACAATTAATTATTATATTTTTATTTATTTATTTGTTAATTTATTATTGTGATTAGTTATGGTAACATGGTGTGGCGACTCTTGCCACAATACTTTTCTCCGTTGACCCCCCTGCGACAGCTGGCACTCTTCCTCACGCCGACCAGCAAGCCGCGTCTCACAACGACGTGCCACCTGCCGCCATCGGTCCTACATTCGGCCTCTTTTCTCGCCCGACCGGCGTATCGACGTTTCTGATCCGTGCACGTTCCCTTGCCTGCAGTCCCTTCGACTTTCCGACTCGCTCGTCTCCGAACGTCGATGACTTGCATTGGCAACAGCGACCGCGATCACGAACCGTCAGCGACGGCCGCGAGACTTACACAAGTCATCCTACGTCTCTTTCGATCACCACGATCTCGTCTTTTGCTACGCGAAACCAACCTCACGACGTGCCGCTGTCGCCAACCTATTTGTGCCCACGTTACGATAAATGCTTAGTAAACACGTTTTCTATTTACCCTGAACAAATTGTCTCGAGTACCATTCTTCACCTTTTCTTCCCGAGCAATCAGTAATACGACTGTTGGCCGCGCGGGATTAAACATATACGAATACGATAATCCCACGTGCGCCACAAGGGTATAAGAGTTCTTACTATACAGAGCGCTAGTAAAACGTGACTTTTCGTCAGATTTGATAAGAACATTCGGCGCCGCTCAACGCTGTGATAAAATATAGGCCGACGTGCAACCATAGACCTTATACTAAGGTTGCGTTCCGGTTGGACGCTTTGTACGCTTCAAGCGCTCCCAGTGAGTTCCACTTGGCATTTATAAGCGCTCACACTACAACCTTGACGTCACGAAATCTGAGCTCTATGTCATCGTTCGGCGCTCACGAACGCTCAAACGAAATAGGTAGTGCAGCGTAAGCGTTTGGGATATCTTATCAATTATCAGTTTATCAGTTAATTGGATAAATACAAATTTAAAATAATATAATATTAAATATTATTGTGCGGCAGCGACCTTCCCGGAAATGTCGTTAGCGCGGGATATTGCCGACAACCTAAGATTACCGGATAGATGGTTACACAAAAAATTAGAATTGACTCAAAGTATCAAATTAGAAGTGGACTGTATAATGAAGCTCTTTCATGCTAATTAACAAAGAAATTAGACGGGGGGACACTTAAATACTATGTTACTAATTCACAATTACAAGACAATATATTTAAATAATTTTAACAGTATAGTATGTATATGAATGATATCACCAAAATGTGGTCAAGGCCAGGTATCCTCGGTTACGGTATGATGGATATTATTATTGTAGTCGACAACTGCGATGGCGTACACTCGGCTTACAATGATATAACAGCTTTTCGGCGATGTCGTATTATCGGCGGCTAGACGATGAGCACGCACACGCAAAACGAATCGAACCACGATGTATGTCCGAATGGTGACAACACAGACGGCACTTTAGCGTATGGCTACGACGAAGGCGTACACTAGATTTACAATGAGCCTTTTTAACATAAACATCGGTGACGACGATGGCGTACACGCATTATATATCGGCGACGACGAAGGCGTACCGCGAAAAATTAACCGAAGAAAACAAACTATAATTTTGTAGCGGCAACGAACACACACCACAACAACAACAACACCGTGTGCGTATTTCAAAGTATCGATACGACATAACGACACTACTCCAGAGAGGTAAGAGGATCGCGTCCATAGACCTATACTCTATTCGTCGTAAGTTGACCCACTCGCTCGACGAAAACCGGTCGTGGCTGCGCAGGCCACAGCGTCTTTGGAGCGCTAGTGTTGATCATCGCCACCGCACCTGGCGTATACGTAGTGATTCAATTATCTTAACGGCGTATCGACTATCGACACTATCTCCGCGAACGCGCGCTACTGTAAAAGATTATTTTTTTATTCTGTTTACGATTATTGTTTATTTATTCATTAATATAATTCGCTATGGATAGTGATAATCAAGGCATTGAAGGCGTAGAAGCATTATCACCTATAAAAAAGAATACACGAGGAAAAGTGAGTATTATATGAAATTCGAGATATCTAACTAATAGTAGAAGAATTTTCTAGGGAAGTAAAAAAAAATCCAGTTTTCGCGACTCGACTGTATTTATTATTGGTTGTCAGGGGCGTATACAAGGGAGGAGATGTGGGGGTCAGATCCCCCCATAGGCCTTTTTTTAAAATGTTATAAAATAGTGTTCTTAGTGTTAGCGCATTATAAGGAAACATCGAGAAAAAATTAAATAAATAGTGTAAACCTTCTATAATATCGTTTAATTCAGGGGCGTCATTCCTAATTTTTGAAATACATGCTATACCAACTAGTAGGTAGTTCAAAACCAAGTTCAGCAGACCAATATAATATATTATTATATAATAATTATTACAACAAAAAAAAATTTTCTCACTTCGCTCGATAATTTTCAACTTAATATTTCCCACGTATTTCATTTATTATGAATATAGTACAGTACCTATAATGTACCTAATAATATTAAGTTTATTCTTTATTATATTATTTAAACGCAAATTTAAATATTTATAGTTACGCTATGTCGCTATTGTACCTTAACTACTTTATTGTATATTACCTATATTTTGTTATTTATTATTTTAATGTGCTTAGGTTTAATTTTCTTTTCTGATCCCCCCCATACAAAATGTATGTATACGCCACTGTTGGTTGTAATTATTACGAAATATTATAATTGAATTGATGATTAAATATTTTCATATATTTTGAATTATAAAACGAAGTGCATTAATTTTTATTTTGTATTTAAAATTTGTATTTTTTTTGTTTTAGATTGTTGGTTCACGTGAGTGATTAAGCATTGTAAATATGTACAAGACAATCATTAAGGATAATCCTAGTACGTCAATGAGGCAAATGAGGGCGACAATTTCAAAGACAATGGGCATTGGTGAATCAACAGTTCATAGGACTATCAGTGAATACCAGGAAACTAATACGGTAATATCTCCAAAACGCAAGAGAGTAAGAGTTAAAATTACTGAAACGTTCGATGACTTCGCAATGAATGCAGTCCGCAGACACGTGCACAGTATTTGGTTCCGACGCGAAATCCCTACACTTGATAAAATTCACAAAGCTGTTTCCGATGATGAAGATTTGCCAACCGTATCCCGTACTAGCATGTTTAAATTATTGAAAGAATTAAAATTCCGTTACGTTAAGAGAAGTCGTAACAGTGCTTTAACGGAAAAAACTGAGTTGATACTTTGGCGAAGAAGGTACTTGAGATCAATAAGGAACTATCGTGAAGAGGGTCGCCATGTGTATTATCTAGACGAGAGGTGGGTAAATGCTGGTGACTGCCCCAATTATGAATGGCGTGATACAACTATAACATCCCACCGTGACGCATTCCTGAAGGGAATGTCGACGGGTTCCGTGAATCCGTCTGGCAAAGGCAAGCGTCTAATTGTCCTGCATATAGGGTCTGAAGATGGTTTTGTTGACAATGGATTATTGTGTTTTGAATCCAAGAAGAACTCCCGCGATTACCACGACGAGATGAACGGTCAGACATTTTGCGAGTGGATGGAGAGTATTCTACCTCGTCTAAAGGACAACTGCGTTATTGTGATGGACAATGCACCGTATCATTCCGTGAAGTTGGACAAAGCACCGACGACGTCAACAAAAAAGGGCGATATTATAGAGTGGTTGGAGAATAAAGGGGAAGTGGTGGATAGGACTATGATAATAAAATAACTTTTAGACATCGTAAAAAAAATTAAGCCTCAACATGACAAATTTGTTATTGATGAAATCACCAATGCACAAAATAAAACAATTTTACGTCTGCCACCCTATCATTGCGAGCTTAATCCGATTGAACTTGCTTGGTCATCAATAAAAAATCATTTAAAAATGAACAACACCACATTCAAACTACCTGATGTCAAAAAACTTTTAATAGAAGGCATAAAAATAGTAGAAACAAATATGTGGAAGAACTTTATACGACACACGGTCACAGAAGAAAATAGGTTTTGGGAAATAGATGACGTTATTGATGAGGTGTTTGAAGCGGAGAGACAAAATTTAACTTTAACTATTGGAGATACGTCATCTGATTCAGAATCTGATGAGGATTGAACTATTCTTATAATATATAAATATATTTGTTTTTATACCTGCTTTTTTTTTTTTAAATGAACATTTTTTTAAATTTTTTTTATATAATTTTTTATTCATTTGCTTAAGTGAAAATAAAACATTTTATATTGCGTATATTATAATGTGTTATTTTTAATTAAATATCTATACAGCATACTATTATAATATGAATATATGATACGACTTAATAATAATAAAATGTAAACAGTAAGTATTTTGGTTCAATAAAATACTGTTGCGATCGTATTGGATTTATTACAGATGTCGTGTATGCCGTATTCAAGTATAATACAATAGATTAATTCGTAACAATTATTTTGTAAATCATCCTGTATGCACGGCGGCAGACCACCGTTCTACAACGTGGGGGGTCTGAACGTTCCGGCGGCTCAGTATGCATGCGCGCAAGTGGGTCAACTTACGGCGAATAGAGTATATAAACTATGGACAGCGCTTAGAGAGAGAAGTCAGGATACGATATAGTTGAGCGAGAAAAGAGACTAAGTAGTGTTTTGCAGTGTGCCTACTGCCAAATAAAAAATTGTGATACAATAAAATCTCGCCGATCGTTATATTTCATTGATAACGTGATAAAATTGTGATTACTGATTTGTTTTATAGACGATAAAACCTTAACCTAACCTGACCTATGGATAAAGGAAATGGAAATAAAAAAAAGTTTAGTATTTCCTCCATGACTCACTACTTTGTGTTCTTTCTCTCTCAGTTATAGGATCGCCTAGCATTGTGGGCAGAGCGGGGTGGAATGCGCTGTCCATAGTTTATTGGTCTATGATCGTGTCGCGGCGAACATGTTACGCCAGAATCGGCAGTGCAGCCAACTGGCGATAGCAGCAGTACATGCGCAAAGGTTGCATGACTAGTGCCGGCCGTATCGCTACCAAACAATTATTAAAAATATTATATAAATCTAAGTGTGGCAATATTGTAAATTGTTTTATATATATTGTTATATTATACTTGTGTGTAGGTTCGTCGAATGGACGGTTTTCCCGTACGTCGTTATCGATGGGCGACGGATCATTATATTATATTACATTTTATATTTATATTTATATTATATTGATAATATTAATTAATGTACGTCGGGACTACGGCCGATTCCCGGTCGTCTCATATTTTTAGTTGGTTGTTGCCTGTCGTCGGTGAATAAACGTATATTGTATTAATATCAAAATTGCGACTTATACTCATTTTCCCACACCACACACATCAGACCCAGGTTGTCTACGCTACGGCATGACATAGTACCAATATATATATATATATTATTACATAAGTTCTATTTATATACAATTTAAATAGTTAAATATGTCGGTAGCTGTCACAATAATGGATGGGGTGGATGGAGATAAATACGTGATATATGTGACGAGCGATGAGGCAAGTCGGATGAATTCAAGTATTATAAGAGTAAACTAAATTTGGATTTAATTATTATTAGGTATATATTTTTCGATTATTTTTTTGTTCAGATGACATTTGTTGCTCAAATGTTAAATAAATGTAAGCAGCAACAGAGGGAACAACTGCAAAAGCAGCAAACTGAACAACTGCAACAACAGCATACAGAACAACTGCGACAGCAGCAGATAGAACAACAGCAACATGATGATGCAAGTTTATTTTAATGGCCTCATGCTGCCATATTACTGGTGATTGAGGAATACAGGAAAACGGCAGACAACTTTTGTTCGGGGCAGATTTCACAAAAGAAGATTTGGCAATTAATAGCAGATGAGTTGGTGAAGAATACATACAGTGTAACTGGTAATCGATGCCAGTCAAAATTTGGAGGTCTGAAGAGGACTTATAAGTCAATCAATGACCATAACGGTAAGTCTGGAAATGGCCCTAGAACTTGGCCATATTTTGAAATTATAGATGGCTTGTTAGGGGTGAAACCCTACATTACCCCCATAGAAACTGTTTCATCAACGGGGAAAAGGGACCAACCTGAATTTGACAGTTCTCTCGCTTCTGATATCGTGATCTTCCGGAAACAATACAACTATTCATCCGGTAGACAAAGAGCTATTATAGATTGAGGAAAATAGGAAAGCATCCGAAGAAAACAAAGAAAAGAGGCATAAAGAGAAAATGGAACAGAAACGGGAGGCTATTAATATTTTAGCTAGGCTTGTTAGTGTCTTAGAGACTAAAAATCAGTAATTAAAATTCCTATTTATTTGTAAATAAAATATATTACCTGCCACGTTCCCAAACCTAAGATTGGATATAATTTTATACGTGACTGAGGATTATTATCTGTTAAGTACTTGTAGATATTATATAAATTATTTATTATTTTTTTGTTAATGACCAAAGTCAATACCTTAGAAAATAAAGACTGATGATTTAACTTATTTAACTTATTAATAACTTTATTTTTCTGTGTACACTATAAGTTGTTGAAATAATGATAGATTTTCAACTTCAGTATCTTGTTCAATAGGAAAGTGAACATAGTTGGTGTATTTATTAAAATTGCGAAGCCTAAAATGTCATTATCATCAGTTGTATATTATAATATGATTAAAATGATATATAGGCAAAAAGTGACAAGGACGCAAATGGACTTAAAAATATAGTTACCTCGTGGTTCTTACCTGCAATTATATTAATAGGTAAGTCAATAAATTATTAACACAACACTTTATAGGATTAAACTTTTTAAAATATTGATAAATTAATTAGTAAGTACCTACACAGATAGAAAAAATTATTTAATTTAGCACGAATCGGTGTTAAAATAACTAAGACGGCGTGTAGGTTTTCACTCACTAGAAGCTTGGTGTTGATACCACATCAGACGTATAAGTTAAAATAAGTTCTTTTAAAGGTAGTAATTTTTAATTATTTCGGAGTTAATTTAACGTCCATAACTGTTTTACCACTACACAACCAACTATAGATTATTCTAATTGCAATTATTGTCAAAATAACATGTAGTATGCAAATTTAAAAATATTTTGTGTTCAAAATAACTTTTACGTGATATCAATAGCAGTCGATCGGAGTGGTGAATTATTTAGCTCATTTATATTATAGCTAAAATAACAATAGGTACTTTTATTACTTTTAAATAATATAATAATATATTCTTTAACATTTGTAAATACCTATATATATACATATGCATATGTATATATGTATATAATATGCCATTTCCATAACCTGCATGTCAGGAATTAAGACAATTGCTGAGACGATATGTCTATATATGTCGAAGAGGTAGTTTATCACAAATATTATCCCTCTTAATTTCTCCTTGATGATTAATTGCAACCAACTCTCTCACTTGTACATTAACATCCACAGGTGGGGTTTCGTGTACCTAGATCAGGAAACTCATCATCTTTTAATAAACATATATTATGTAAAACACAGCATGCAATAATATATTTGGGGGTTAGGTCGACACGTTCCATATCTAAGGTTGTCAGAAGACTTCGAAATCGCCCTTTAAGGAAACCAAAAGAACGTTCAATTGCCATCCTGGTAGAGGAATGACAAAAGTTAAAGTTCTTTTGCTTTTGAGTTAAATGCCCATTGTCACGGTATGGTACTAGTAAATGTTCATGTAATGTATAAGCGGCATCACCAATCAAATGAGTGTTACTAGGAAATTTAGTTGGGTCATCAAGGTAATTTTTCAGTTCAGATAATCTGAAAACCCGTTGGTCGTGTACTGAACCAACATTCCCAGCATAGCAATGAATAAAACAAAATTTATTATCACACACGGCCTGTGAAAAATAAGTAAATTAATACAGAATAATACTTAAAATGTAAAATGAAAATATAAACATACTTTTAATTGAATTGAATGGTATCCTTTTCTATTAACATAAGCTTCTTGGTGGTCATGAGGTGCAGGAATGTTAATATGTGTCCCATCAATTGCACCAAGCACATTTGGAAAAGTGCTGGTAGAGAAAAATCCATTTTTAATTTCCTCAGCTTTTTCCTCGCTTGGCCAAGTTATGAAAGCTGGTGTCAAAATTTCCAAAGCAACAATGACTCTTCTGATACATCTTAATGCAGTTGCCCGCCCCACATCAAATTTTTCACAAATTGATCTAAATAATTTTTAGGTATAATAAAATAGATATAGCTAATTATAATAATATAATACACACAACAGTAGCTTTGCATGTAACAATAATATTAAGTATGTATACCAAAAATACCGGCAAGAGTCCGGAGTAGCCCTTTTCCAAATTGCAATTAAAAATTATTTATTTGGTGAAATAGATTTGTAACCTGGCTTTGTTCTGTTTAACTTTGGAGCAATTAGAGTCAATACAAATTCGAATGTGGTTGGAAGCATCCTATAAAATAGTATTTGTTAAATTTATTTGTATCTACTCTTATCTGCTAAAAGTAATCAACTCTTTGGCGAATGTATTTTATTATTAAAACCTTCTAACCTGGAATGAGCTTTGAATTGGCCATCATTGAATAGTGGTACGATCGTTTCAACATAATTTTGCAACATGGGTATTGCAGTTTTAGTTTCTATACTTTCTAAACAATGTACTACATATTCATATTCATTGCCGTCATCTTCACTGTCATCAGACGAAGAGGAAAATATAATATCACAGCATTGTTGTATAGCATTGTTGATAACTAAATCACGCTCATTAGAATTATCCATTATAAAAACACTAATAGAATAAGTAAAAAAATATTAGCGAATTTGAAATTAATTAGTAAAACTGAATGATCAAACAATTATTCACAAGAACAAAAAACAATTTGTTTATCTTGTTATCAATTTCATTTTTGAAATCACTAAACAAGTGCTAAGCGCTCACAGCAGGTTCACACGCGTTCCACTTGGACAGTGAGCAAAGCGATTATATGCGTCTGTTTGATAGTGGAACGGTTCATAAACACGAGCGTGAGCGTGAGCACTGTAAGCGCGTAAGCGTCCAACCGGAACGCACCCTAAGTATACTAGTATAAGGTCCATGCGTGCAACCATTGTATCTATGGGTGCGTTCGTCTAGGTCGATTTGTACGCTTTAAGCGCTTACGCTATAACCTTGACGTCACAAGATCTGAGCCCTACGTCATCGGTCCACGTTCACAAACGCTCAAACGAAATAGGTAGTGCAGCCAAAGCGTTCACGCTGTGGCGCGTTGACGAACGGAACATAGCGCTTACACTGGTTATTAGTGATAACTACTAATGATAACATAGAAAATTGTTTCACCGAAAATACCAATTACTAGTTTAGGACTTTAGGTTAACGAGTAATGCGTATAACTAATATTTAAAAAGTATTATTAGTAAAGAAATTCTCAACTATTCAGTTATTCATACTATATTACTATCCAATCAACGATGGAATTATCAACGATGCAAGTGACACTTACGGACGGTGATGATGATGGGTCAGCTTACATTCTAGATGTGACGCCTGAACAAGCGAACCGCTTAAAGACAGGTACATAATATTATTTAGTTAAAACATTGATTAAATATTAAATATACAGGTACTCATCTAATATGCAACCTAGCGCTACTTCGTTGGTGTAGTATGCTACCTACCGTAAAATAAGCTACCTACCATAAAATAATAACAAATTAACAACAATTTATTAATTTACCATTGTTGTTCAAACGCCGATATGCTCCTACGATCTAGGCGGTTAGCTATATTGACTTGCGGTGAATAATATATTAAATAAATAAAAAGGACAAAAGATGACCCACTGGTGAAATAATACTGGTGCACAAAAAAAAATATAACGCTATATATCATTAGCGGCGTATTGAACGCCAAAAAGAAGGAAAATATATTATAACACATGAAACACACATATATAATAATTACAAAAGGGGGCCCCAATATAATAATATGATTAACTACAGGTAAGTTACAAAGACATGAATGGTAGAATTGACCTGATCCGCTGATGAAATGCACGATCCTCCTGGTCGACTTCAATCCCAACGTGGAATGGTCAATGACGGTCGACGACACACAGCTGGCGGCACGAAATTAGCTGAATGACGGCGACAACGGGAAAACCCAAAGGTCCGCACACGTGATGACGGCACACTGTATTCAGCGGCGGCACGCGATGTATAGCTGCAGCCCACGAACGTATCGGCGAAACACAAAGTGGTACTTGTGGTACTGAGTACTGACGCCGAAAATGGCGAAAACTACACACGTCGCAAACGTGGATGCGATACAGTAAACACACCAGTAAGCAAGCACGGCAACGCGGAGAAGGCGTCGTGCCGACGGTTAGAATAGAACAGAAAAATGGAAAAACAACAGAACCGAAGCTGGCCCGGCATCGTCGACATACGACCGAAGCGCGCAAAACCGAGGCGGCTGCAAACAAAGACTCAACGCCGACGGCGCGGCTGGTGGTCGGGTTGGCGGCCGCGAACCGGTGCCCGGTGGTCAAACGGTCTGCGTTCGAACAGTTGTCAAGTACTTCATAATATTTCAATTATATATTATTACACATTATATACTATTTTTTTTATAATCTTTCAATACGTCATTATATATTATTACACATTACATACTATTTTTTTTATAATATTTCAATTCGCCATTATATGCATATTATTATACATCATATACTATTTTTATATCATTCCAGAAAACTTCTAATAAATCGTGTTGGGTATTAACGGACCGCCACCATTCTTCTATTAATTGTGGGTCTAACAAATCTGTCGCTCCTCGGGTTTTAATTCCGTATATAGTTTTAACAAGTCTCCATATACACTCGATCGTTTATGTTTGGGCGCCCGTTGTAGGATCAACAAAGAACTCGGAATTATTGACGGTTTCGTGATGATAACCTATATCTTTTAAGGTACTACCTACCAGAAAAAAATTTGACCGGTATCGTCCCCTCCCCCGCATAAAAATTTTATGGCCCTGCCACTTGTAAGTTTGATGAACATTAATATTACTTTTCTATGAGTTTTATCTTATTTATGTTTTCTTGAATGATTAAGCATGTTTTGATAGGTTGAATTTAAAGTAAATATACAAATCAATACAAACTATATATTACAATAATTATTATGCTGGCATGTAAAAGGAACGCTATGTAATGTAATTATTAAATTATTTGTATGTTTAGATATGGTATTTGCAAATAAAATGCTGAATAAAGCTAAATATATGAGATTCATGGAAGATGTAAGTGCTGAAGAATCATACAGTACTTAATGAAAGTGAGTCAGTTGGTCAACATGAAACTTTGCAAATGAAACAAAATATAAACAATGAAACCGACAATGTTTTTAAGTGGCCTCGTGAGGCAATACTTCTTCTTATTGAGGAGTACAGAAAAAGAACTGATGATTTTTATTCAGGTCGGATATCTCAACAAAAAAATTGGCAAAATATAGCAGAGGAATTATTGAAAAAGAAGCATCATGTTACTGGTCCACAATGCCAGTCAAAATTTAAAAGCTTGAAAAGTTCGTATAAATCTATAAAGGATCATAATGGAAAGTTAGGGAATAGGTCTAAAACATGGGCCTATTACTATTTAATGGATGGTTTGATTGATTCCAAGCCCTGTATAACACCAGTTGCCACTTGCCACTGCATCATCGACTGGTGACAAAAAATCCATTAATAATAACTTTTGCTCTTTCCTCATTAGGCCATACAATAAAAGCAGGAGCTAGAATGTATAAAGCGTTAACTACTCTTCTTACACATTTCAATGCAGTTGCTCTCCCTACATTAAATTTTTCACAAATTGACTTGTAAATATACGTGAAATAAAACCCAATTGGAAATTCTAATAGTAACAAAACACAAATAAAACCGAACCGGTATGAATCTGGGGTTGCCATTTTCCAAATTACCATGAGAAACTGCTTGTTTGGTTTTGTAATAACGCAAAAATTAAAAGAATAAAAGAATTTAAAAGAATAAAATAAAATTATTAAAAATCACCGTAAATGTTAATACGACGCCTGCCGACACTAATATTTAAGATGATCTAAATTTACGTTACTACCTTCCTCCTGATCGTCGGAGGGTTCTCGAGGTCGTGTTCTCGAGAATTTGATCAAATACACTTCTATGATGTATATGTATATGCATGCACATATAATTTAATATAATGCAGTCAACAATACTATATTTTATATTTTAATATGTATTTTGTCTTACCTGACTCGCAGCTGTCTCTGGGTTATGCAGTAGGAGTTTTAGGTGACACAAATTAATTATTTAAAATACTCGAATAAAAATAAAGAAACACACTGATTATTGCTCGTCAAAAGGAGTCCAGTTGTCACTCGTAGAATTCGGTATAGAGAGGTTGTTAATCTGTTTTCGCGGTGCGCCTGCACTCGCGAGAGGCTGTTTCCAGTGTTGCCAGGTGTGTGGGAAATTCCCACGGCGCGGGTAAATTCTATCATAAAATTTTGTAAAAGGGACAAAGGGAAATTTTTAAATAAATCACCCATATGTGGGAATTTAAACAATTGTGAAAATTAAAAAAAAAAATATAATATATTATATTAAAATATTAAATACAATAATTATTTAGACATTTAATCAATATTATCATTTATCAGTAATTGGTAATCACAAAAGATCACGTGCAAAATGGTAATCACTATCAGTTATCACTTATCGGTATCAAGTTTACAAATAATTATGTAACTCACCACAATGGTTTTAAGTGATGCTTATTGCTTATAGTAATTAATAATTATTCATAATTCGTTTGTTTAAGAGTTAAGAGTTTAAGACATTAATATGGATTATTCTGATCCAGATGACCCTAAAGACAGATGTAGTACACCAAAAAAAAAAAGAGCAATGAGAAATGAACTCTCAAAAGAAGAATGTCACAGAGAATATAGGAAAAAACAATTTCAACAACAGTGGTTAACAGATGAAAAATATAAACTTTGGCTAAGAGAAGTAAAATCTGAACCAACCAAATGCAAGTGTATTGCTTGTAATGTTGAAATCATGTGTGGCAAAAGCGAAATTGAGAAACATTCAAACAGTAATAAACATTTAAAAAATGTCAAAAGTTTATGTGGATCAAAATCACTGTTATCGTCGTTTAATAAAAGTAAGGATAATGAAATTCTAGAAAACAATATTAAAATCTCTGAAATCAAATTAGCAGCATTTTTAGCTGAACACAATGTTGCTCTACACACCATTGACCATTTAACTCCTTTACTAAAAGAGATTTTCCACGATTCAAAAATTTGTAATGGTGTAAATCTTCATCGTACCAAAGTCACTAGTGTCATTAAAAATATTATTGCACCAGTTGAAATTTATGAAACAGTTGAGATAATAAAAAACAATCCATTCTCTGTATTGGTTGATGAGAGTACAGACTTGACATGCCAAAAATTTTTATGTTTATTGGTTAGATTTGTACATCCTAACAGTGGTATGGTACACACAAAACTTTTGGAACTTGTACCAGTCAATGCTATAAATTGTTCAGCCAAAAGCATATATGGCCATTTCAAAGAGTGTCTTTTAAAAAAATATATTCCTTTGAACAATATTGTCGGAGTAGCTTGTGATGGTGCTGCGGTAGTGGTTGGAATACACAATTCTTTTATGACTTGCATGGTAGAAGATTCACCAAAAGTAATAAAAATGCAATGCATCTGCCATT